GATTATTAAATCCTGAGAGACAGAAATATGTGTTTATTGAATATATAATGAAAATAGAATAGAAGCATTCTAAAAATGCTTGTGTATACATGTGGACCATTCATAAGAACAAAATCATAGGGCTGGTGGAGTGGCTCAAATGGTAGAGCACCTGTGTATCAAAAGTGAGACCCTGAATTCAAACTCCAGTATCACCAGAAGAAAAAAATAAAAGAACAAAGTCATGATTGGAAGGCCTTTTATTCTTCTGCTGTAAGAAATCACTCTGATTTTGATACATATTAACTTGCTTACTCCTATGGAGTTGAGACAGTTTCTGGCCCAAAAAACTTACATGTGATCTTCAGCCCAGAGCACAGTTAATGGCAAAGTCTTTACCTGGTAGGCCTCTCAGGAAAGATGCCCTCTAAGCCAGCCACACCTGATGGCCAGCTGGTGTATTACAGTCACTGAAGTTGCAGTCAAGGACGCAGGGATCCTGACTGTCACACCCTCAGGCACATCCACATTCATAGCCCAGGTGCCCTTTTGCAATAGCTTCTTTGTCAAAGGTCTTCAACAGGGTCTTTCTACATGCATCTTTGCTTCAATGTCCTTAGAGAGGAGGAGTGAGCTTAGAAAACACTTTTTCTCCTTTCTAACTCAATACTCAGTACTTTTCCACTTTTATTCCTTCCCCCCTCCCTCTGTCCAACCCCCAACTCTATAAAAGTCCCAGAACCTTCCTTTGGGGATCCCTTAGGAAGATAATTTCCCACATCTGTGTTGGTCCATTGGACAAATCTTCCCCTCTCCTGGTGATGTTTTATGGGAGAAATGAGATGGTGGAGGAGATGGTACTGTCTTTGGTTTAGCCTCCTGCTTACACTATGGCTACGAGGGATTAAAAGCTGGAGTGTTGCCTTCATTGGCTTGTTAATGCATTGATGATTCTTGGGCCTAGCAGTTCATCTCTGCTAAGCACAACTCTTGACACTGTCTTTTTATATGTGAGGAAATAGAGACACTGGGACCATGAATGACTTGCTCAAGGTCAAATAGGGAGTCAGGAGAGAGCAGCATTTCAAGCAAGCCAGTTTAGAACCCAAATCCATTCTCTTAACTACACAATCTTCTCTGTTGGGAAATATCATTGTCTATGTTTTCCATATTAACGCTCTGACATATTTATATTTGCTTAATTTTAGAGGGCAGCTTACACTCATCATTTTGATATTCTAGTGGTAATGGAGGCTGTTATTACAGTGCTCCAAGTAAATGAAACGTTATTTATTATATGGTGTTTATACACTGACGGGTCAGTTTATTGAGTAAGCTCTCTTAATGTACCTATCTAAGAATGTTAGAATGTAAGATTATAAACACCACTAGGGATTGATGAGAAAAAAGATGCTCTTCTCTCCCTTATCCTCCTGAAGTTTGGATCGTGATACCTCAAGTACATTTTGGAAATTACAGTTAGCTTATTATTCCTAAATCATGTATTTTTTTAAAGAATGGTATTATTTTATGGTTGTATATAGAAATACATATTAAGACTATATATGTGTAATAGAATGTATATGTAGAAATATATAGAAAAATAAATATTTTCTTTGTTATTTCAATTATACCTCAAATAAGTGCCAATAAAAAGCCAGGTTGCTCTTAAAAGGTTTTGGACTTTTGCACTAACAGTTAGTACTGCACAAAAATATACATAAAGAAATACTTGTAAAATATTGCTTAAGAATCAACTATTCTTAAATTCCTTGTGTCAGAATTATATGATCTGTAAATATTCTCAAGTTTTACAAAATTAGCATCTCTATTTATCTTACAAGTATTATAAGAATAATAAACTACAGATTGTAAATGCAATAGAAATTTTGTAGTTTATATCATGATAAATTTAACTAAGCATATATATTTAGCTATATTTCCGTGAAAAGGGCTAAAGGTGGATAAGCTAACAATCAGTTGCAACTTTCGTTTCACATTCATTCATTCTTTTCTATATAAATAACGGAGAAAGGAAATTATAGCTTAAATTCATTGGATTTTCCTATTTATGAATTATTATGGTTTGAATATTTTGGCCTCCCTCCAAAATTCATGCTGAAATTTGATCCCTAATGCAACAGTGTTGACAGGAAGCCCTAATGGGACACATAAGCCAACAAGGCTGTGTCCTCATAGTTGATGCCACTAAAGAAAGATTGTTGCCATGGGTTTTCTCTCTTCCACTCTTCTGCTATGTGAGAAACAGCATGCCTCTCCCTTCATGATGCAATGTTCAAAGTGGGGGCATCTTTGAGAAGAGACTAGGCTCTTAGCAGACACCAGATCAGCTACAGCACTTTGACGTTGGACATTTTAGCTTCCAGAACTATCAGAAAAGGAATTTTTGTTCTTCATAAATTATCCAGTTTTAGAAATTCTGTTATAGCTCTATTTCCTACAGTAATTATCTGTTATCTATTATCTGTTCAGTAGAGTTAGAAAATAGGAAGGAATTTACTGAACATTCTAAGTCATGTTATTTTATTTAGACTTGACCCTATACTAGTCAGTCACAGTGGCAGAGTTGTTAGGCAGGGTCATGGTCAGATTTCATTGACCAGAGCTCTTGCAAGTATTCTGACGAGATCGGGTTCATTCAGGGTGGTATGGCCATAGACCTTGCAAGCATTCTGTCAGGTAAATTGGCCAGGTTCCAAAGCAGGCAGAGCAATTACGCACAAAAGCACTTAACCATGAAGTCTCAGATACCTAAAAGGGTAAATTTAGGAGGTCCTAGAACTTGAATGGGAAAGCATTACATTATTATACTTACCAGTGATCTATTAAAATTTATGAGTTTCATCGATGACAAATATAAAGACCACATCAGTCGTATTGTGAACAGAAACCACAGATAATTCATGTTACATTCCAGTATTCATGCCCCTCTTAAAATATTGTTTTATTATGTATTATTCTTAATTAATATAAAACAGATAACAGAATTCATCATCTTAAACATTTTTAAGTGTATAGTTCAGTGGTGTTAAGTATATCACACTGTTGCACAGTTGATCCCAGAACTTGTCATCTAGCAAAACTGAGACCATAAATACATGCAATTATCACTCCCCATTTTTTTCTACCCCCAGGCCCTGGCAGCTGCAGTTCTAAGTTCTGTTTCCTTAAGTTTAACAACTTCAACTACTTCATATAGGTAGAATCATCTAATAGTTGTCTTTTTGTGACTGGCTGGCTTCCTGTCACAGAATAAAGTCATAGGAGAGCAATATTCACCAATTCAGTATGACCAGATATGGTGTCATGCTGTACACATAATATGTCAGCAAATAAAGCAACTATGTAAGCGATAAAACTTTGACAACAATTGATGGTTAATTTGTAAAGGACCATTGGTTATGAACCTATTCTGCATTTATAATTTTTGCACCTGCAATTATTTGAATGCAAAAAAGAAAAAGAGCAGCCACAGTTGCCTAATTATAGGCTCAACCATCCAAATTAGCCTTCAAAAAGAACACCACAAAGAGATACCATCTGTGAAAGTGCACTAAACCCCTTAGACCTTTCCTGCTCCAAATCCCGTAAGGCTGGTGGGCACATTTCCCTTTTGGCTCCTGTCTGAGGCTTTCTTCTTGACTGGGCTCATTCATGCCTTACAGGCTAGTTATTCTGAAAAGCTGAGAGTCAGCAGGCTGTCCTCATATCCAACCAACACACACCCCTCCAATATAAAACGCACCGTAATGTGGACAGACTGAACACGGAAGCCATTTCTGAAGCATGATACTTGCGTTGTTAGCACAAGCAGATTCAATTTTTATTCACATGTAATTTTACCCTGTAGGCAACTTGAATACTAGAAAGATCGACTCTCATACAAATTTCTGCTTAAAGATGACAAGAAAATTACATTACTCTACTTTTTCCAGAAAAGGTTTTAGCCATTTATTAAAAACACAGCTGCCAGTTTTGATCAAATGTATTCATATTTCCCTATTATATTATTAGGGCCATCATGAAATTTAATAATTGTCCCTTGGGGTTTGATTTCCTACAAAAGCGTCATAACACACACAATCAGTACTATAGCAAATAATTATTGAACTATGTGGAGACAGGTATAATTTCAGGTGGGAAATATATAATAACAGATGAGAAATTTAAAACCCAGGAAAATGCTTGATAAAGATTCTGTTCTCATACAAGTGTCAGTAATAATAAATGTAGGGATAACATATCCTGCTTTGTGAAAATGAAATAGATTCCAGAGAGAATAATTTTCAAAGGTTTTAATGATATTATTTGGTTATCATTTAATAACATTAAACACTTGAACCTGATAAATTCTCTGTGGTAGAAACATTCTGAATTTTTTTTTAACAGTACTGGGGTTTGAACTCAGGGCCTCACATTTGCTAGGCAAGTGCTCCATCATTTGAGCCACTCTGCCTGCCCTGACAGTACACATTTTAAAAGTAGTTTATTGGCCTATTGACAAAAATCAGAAGGTAAATATGCTTCTTTTGTATGACATCTATATTCATCCATTCTGTGCTCTTCAGAATTATCATAAAGTGTTATCATGAAGTCTTTGGGGATAAATCACTAGGTTTTTTTTTTTTTTCAAATTATAGTGATTAGGAAAGTAAATTTTTATCTTATGACCTTTGCCTCAGTGGTACAAGAGTCATAAAAGTCGAAGCAATAGCTCGACATTAGCCTGAAGTTTATGCACAATGACACAAATGTTTGAAATACAGTAACTTAAGTTGAGCAAAGACAAACCATTTTTAAAAGTGAGAATTTGTAAAAGGGAAACACATGATTCCAAAAAAAGAGACTTAATTAGAAGCAAAATGTTCTTCAGCATTTATCATATACAACTAATGGATGCAATCACAGCTCAAACTATTATGTATGACCTGATAAACAAGTAGTTCATTTTCACATGGAATAGAACATTTCAAGACATTCAAAAGAACAAAGCTACTCACATCCTGAGCTTCCATTTGTTGACACCAGAGTCAAGTTGGAAGGCCATGGATTCCGAACAATATCTTGCCAATGAATGGTGTCTGCGTAACAAAGGAATTTGTTCTGGTCTACGTAGACTCCACCATTCAGAATTTCTGTATTGTAAACAAACAAACACATTTCTTGTCAAACTCTTTGTTGATGAAAAAGTAGCCAATAAAAGTGAATTGCTCAAATTGTTTTCAATATTAAATTAGAGTTATAGTGTAAGTAGCCATGATACTTTTTAAAATGTACTTCACTGAGTCATTTACATGAATTGTAGAAATTTAAAAACATTGAAAGTACAGAAAAAAGAAACCACTCAATCCTAACATTCAGGGAAGTACTCTAACATGTTGATATAGATGTTGTTTCTTTTCTGTTCTCCCCCAAAAACTGGAATTATATTGTATATAATATTTCATATCCTACTAGTATGGTTTCATGTGATATAGTAAATACTGAATGGTAATTAACTATTATTTCCTATTATTTTAACACAAACATAATATATGCTAGAATACAAATTAAATAGTAATTATTTAATCAACCACTCCTTATTTGTCCTTTATTTATCTCTGATTACTCTTGAAATAAATATACACAAATATGATTTCAAAGTCATAGAATGTGAATAGTCTTGACTTTTGATACGTTACCAAATGTCCTTTCAAGAAGGTAGTTTCAGTAAATTTAACATTGACTGAAGTCAGAAGATAAGTAATTAGCATAACACTGAAGCTAAAATTCATGCTTCTATTATAAAAGTGTTCTGTGTCACCTCAAATGGAATTAGCAGACTTGCCAATTATTCATGAGCAATAATGAGCAAAAAGAGACAATGAAATCCCAGTAGCTCGTTGGAGCATGGGCATTACCCTCTGATAAAATACCATACAGACAATTTTTACTTGATTTTCTAGTTCACAACTAGTCTTTATTGGCTATCTTGTCCTCCATGAAGAATGGCTGACCACATACATGGATTCTCTTTCAGACAGATTTAAGTTATAAAGGAAAAACTTAAGATATTCCTTCCAAAAATACTGCTATTTTATTTATTGTTTCTTGGCAGTACTGGAATTTGAACTTGGGGCTTCTCTTGCTAGACAGGTACTCTACCACTTGAGCCATACCTTTAACTCTTTTTGCTCTGATTGTTTTTGAACTAGGGTCTGCTTTTTGTCAGGGCTGGCCTGGAATCCCTATTTCAGCTATACTCCTTCAGTGTAGCTGGAATCACAGGCACATGCAATTATACCTCGCATTTTTTTTTTTTTTTGGATTATATGGAGTCCTTTTGGCCTGGACTGGCCTTGAACTAGGATCCTCCCTATCTCAACCTCCCAAGTTGCTAGGATTACAGAAGTGAACCACCGGTACCTAGCTAATGTTTTAAGAAATTGACTGGAAATATACTTCTCACCTTCCTGCTGTATCTACCACATTTCCCCCTTCTTGTCCATTACAGAATTTTTAGAATGATCACACATCTATCCATAAAGCATTCAGTTACAAGTTAAAAAAAAAGAAAAAAGAAAATCCCTGGATGACAGTAGTTTATATAGATAAGGGGTTAATGTATTTATAAGAGGTAGTGACAGACATGGTTCAGGTGATCCACAGTGCCCATTTTCTTCTCTGACATCCTGTGTTCTGGTTTTATTCACTCCAGGTATAAGATGGCTACTTGATCTATGACATCTTTTTGAATTGAAAGCAGGATAAAGACAGAAAAGGAAACAAGAGACTTTCTTTTTAGTAAGGCTCTGACTTTCTGTTTGGGAACTGTTATTTTCTTCAAGGATAATAACGTCATTTCATTTGTCAGAACAATGTCCTATGTCTACTGCAAAGGATGATGAGGAAGCAACGTTTTAGGGATGTACTGCTGCTAGAATAAAGACCAAGCCAATCAGAGTGGTAGTGAGGAGGAGAGAGGTGTGATTATTGGGAAGACAAACAACTCAGTCTCCATGGTAACGTTGGAAAATCATTCCTCTTGTGTAATAGTTTAAGCTAACTCTTTAAGAGTCATCTTAATCCAAAGAGGGAAATAAAAGAAAGGAATATGTGACAAGTTGACAGATATTTGTGGAAGTGACTGGTGGGCACATACAAAGTGCTTTCCTGCACTCACATATAAAATCTCCCAGATTAATTTTGAGATTACAGAGTTTACCACATTTAAGATCAGTACCATTCTCATCATCAGTCCTTTCAATGACTAGTGATTCTACTTTCTCAAGAGAGGGGAAAAGTGAAATTAAAAGAAATTAGATCATCTTTCTACTTCTAAAACAGTTCATTATTTTTCATGATCTAACCACATAACCTTCATCAAAGCAGAAGGGACATGTACGATATAAGAATGCTTGTGCAAATGGCTTTCTACGTTAATGTTTGGCATTAAGTTTCAATTTCAGAAGTGTGCCGAGCTCATCCTAATAGCTTTCTCAGGAGACATTAGGTGATGTTCTTTTGCTCTAGGAATTACTCTTCATTAGGTGACAAAGAAGGAGATTCTAACTGCTGTGCAGGAAACAAAGCTTATTTTTCAGTCTACATTTGAAAAATTTCAACTTAAAAAAATATTAAGAGAAAGGTAATATCTCAAATAATATGAAAAGAGTATTTATTTTTCAGGAGTCACATTTTAATTCACATTGTTCATATTAAAGAAACACAGTATCCACTTCCAACCTCCTATCTAAACATTTTCAAATAGAATCAGATTATATTGCACTGAATAATAATCTCATCAAATCCCTTTCTTCAATAATATTTATCTGCTACCAGTGTTGACATTTATTTCTTAGAAGTATTATGTTGAAGAGCTTGACTTATTCTTGGAAAAAGGATTTAGAAAAGAGATAATAATAATAATTTAGATACAATCCTACATGTTAAAATTTCAAATTAAGATACAACCATGATCAATCAATTTAGATAATACTTTTACCATCAAAAGTTCAATACATAGCATCTGCTAGCAATTCCTGACAGAAGTAGTTATACCTTTTTAGCTATTAATGGTGGATAGTTTATTTGTGTAAGTAGTCTTTCTTTTTGCTATATGCTTTACTCTACCATTGAATGTCAAAACTTCACAGTCAGGGAATATGTTTTATTCAAATTTAAAGGAGACTTCTAATACACATTTCATCTTATACTTTTGGTTAACTTGACTGTTTAAAAATTTTAAGAAATAATGTTATAATTGCATTTATATATTTTTAAAACTTTAATTTTATAAATTTACAGAAGTTTAAAAACATTAGTTTAATATATTTCCTATACATATATACAGGAAATACACATATACAAATACAGGAAATATTTGGTTACATTTATTTCTAGACAAATATAATTGTATAGAACAATTCTGAACCATGACAGTCCTTACAAATACAAATTGCGTACTTGACAGAGGACCTACCTATTGTTTCTGCCTTGTTTGACTATCAAGACTTGATTGTATTTTTAGATAAAAAAGAACAAGGATTAGAAAAAGAGAAGAACATAGTAAGATGTTTATCTGGTAGAATACCAATAAAAGTATCTGGCTGAATTTGGATCTTTGGTAACATCTATGGGCAGCAATGCTTTCTATACATTTTATTAAAGATTTATTGGAAGGAATCACCTGTGTTATACCCAGTTTCCTCCCCACTAATAAGAAATAAAGTAACTATAATTCAGTTTTAAGAGCAGGACAAAAAAGAAAGTTTCTATTCTTAAGGAATACAGGCAAAATGAAGCACAAATTTAATGGATAGTCAAACAAAGATGCATATAGCCTGGATGAGTGCAGGGACTCAAAAATGTTGAATGAGTGTATGAGCTCCAGGTAATCTCATTCCACTGTATTTAACTTCCACCACAGAAGATACATCAGAGTAAATTAGGGCTGACATGAATAGATTCTTGGTCATTTAATCAATTAGAAGAAAAAAAGCTGCTCTGAGACTTTTTGTTTTTACCATATTATATAAAAATATTTCCGGCAAGTTCACAAAACAGAACTGTCTCTTCTTAATAAATATCATAGTTAAATACAGTTAAGATATATTAGACATGACATTCTGCAAAAATAAAACTATCATTTCATTACTGAAAAATTCCATTAAACACTTAAATATGTTTGTGTCTCAAACATTCCCCCACTAGATTAATGCATGCAAGTCAAGTAAAAGATGCCATGAATCTTTTTGTAGTTTGAATAAGTAAATTGTAATCTACATTACTCTTCAATATGTTGACTTTAACTTTTATCAAGCACACTATTTGTAACTAAAATATAATTATATTAAGCTTCATGAATGCAAGAAATCTTTTTTAACACTGTCTCTATAGCATCAAACCCAGGACTACAATTGTCCCGTGAATACCTATTCTTTGATGTTATAATACCTTTTATTATTTAAAATGCTTGAAACTAACAACACACAAAGTTAGAGTAGATCATATATTTGATATTTATAGGTCACATGTAGATGTTTTTATTTTAATCCACAAACCTATTTTAATCTAAAAAAAAAAAAACATGTATCAGGGAATTTGCTGTTAACATTAGTAAGTTAACTTCTGTTGTGATTCTGAATTTTAAATTATATTCCAACCAAATCAAAATAAAAATGAAAGTTTCTTTTCCATAAATACTCTGTAGTTTATCTTAACTGGTTCTGTTTCCTTAAGTCAGGGGTTATTCCTGTTGTATTTAAAGTTGTGCCCTACTTTCTGGTATAATACAAAGCACAAGGAGATACACAGTAGTCAAGGACTACAACAAAAAGTAACTATAGAGAGAGAGAAAATTTTGTGGTTAGGAGTAACAGGAAATATCTGTTATTATTCAAAAATGCTAATAGCACACAATCTTATTGTAGACAGTATGCTTGGTATTTGTAAGGTATGTTCAGACATTTTCACTGTTATCTCCAAAACTATTTTATGCACCAAACTGTTATTAGTTGCCAGTTGAATGATGATTTCAAGCTACTCCAATCCAACCAGATTTCCCCCAACCTACACAAATTACCTATTGTATGCTATTCAAATGACTAAAAGTGTGTTTAATATTGAACTCTAAGTCTACCTCATATTGTTTCTT